CAGTTACAGAGACATTTTGAAGCCATACATAATCTCTTTTTTTCAGCTGACATCTGCAAGCTAATAAAAGGAATCTTTGACTGGTGTCAATTTAACCATTATGACCCCCGAGGGGTTGACTTCGGCACTGTAGAACTTAGCAAACTTGCCCAGGTCAGTGTGAGTAAACAAGTCTCTGACAAAGGCTGTAGCTGACGTCAATCCAACCTGTGGCATCGAAGGAAACAATTAGTTAAAGATTTTATTGTTTGAGTGTCTGAAATATCACTCTATATACCATTTAGTTAAACAGATGTGAACCAACCAAAGTTGATAACCTTGAAAACGTTCATGTACCGGCGCGGGTAGATACATGCTTTATGAATTCATACGAAATAATAAAGAATGCGAGGATCCAAAATGCATGCTGGAACAAATGACATTCAAGAGCAGTTTTCTATTTAGTGTGAAAGCAATGCAGGGTTGATTGGTTCTCCTTTCACTACATTCTAACTGTACAACTCTTAAGTACCTAACCAATCAGATACAAAAGCTTAGCCAGTTGCAACTTGTATGGTTTGGTTAGCACAGTTTTGGCCCTTTCTCTGTCACACAATGCAATGCTATGCAAGAGCAATACTTTGCTCTCGGGAGAGAGTATATTACTCTATAGTATTTGCTGTAGCTGGAAGGTAGTTGAGATTGTGATTGGTTATGAAAGCCGCTTAATGCTAACCCAGCATTAAAAGTTAACCAAAGCACCAATTTCTCTTGCATCATTTTTTTTAACTTCTCATATTTTGTGTAGTTTTAGATTATTCAAGCTCAAAACTAAAGGACAAACAATATAAACAGAAAAACCTGACCGAAAAATTGTGACCTATGATGACCCAGGTCGTTCGAATGAGTGCAAATTTCTTTCAAAAGGTCTTCAAACGGCTTCTAAACGGAATTCCGTTCGCAAATGGAAAGCCGTTAAAGCACGTTTTCGCGTGAAAGGTCACAATTACAAAACTGAAATCTCACTAATCCTGGGTTAGCTTAATTGGGATTTGAACAACCTGTCCCAGGATTGCAAGTTCAATTAGGTAGCTCAGTTAATTATATACATACCAGTTTAAAATCTGCTCTGATTTCAACAGGTTCTCTTGTATTACCATTAAACAGAACAACAGCTACACTTCCATTTGACAAGGGACGTGACCAAACTTCTAACCCTTTTTCATTAGACTACAATACAGGAATAGATTTAAAGCAGAATTGGTAACAGTTCAATATTAAGGTTTGAACTTAGTTCAATAGAGAAAAGNAACTTGTATGGTTTGGTTAGGTCAGTTTTGGCCCTTTCTCTGTCACACAATGCAATGCTATGCAAGAGCAATACTATCCTCTTGGGAGAGGGTATATTACTCTATAGTATTTGCTGTAGCAGGAAGGTAGTTGAGATTGTGATTGGTTTTGAAAGCCGCTTAATGCTAACCCAGGATTAAAAGTTAACCAAAGCACCAATTTCTCTTGCATCATTTTTTTAAAACTAATTCTCATATTTTGTGTAGTTTTACACTATTCAAGTTCAAAACTAAAGGACAAACAATATAAGCAGGAAAACCTGACTGAAAAATTGTGACCTATGATGACCCAGGTCGTTTGAATGAGTGCAAATTTCTTTCAAAAGGCTTTCAAACGGCTTCTAAACGGAATTCCGTTCGAAAATGGAAGCCGATAAAGCATGTTTTCGCGTGAAAGGTCACAATTACATTAAACTGAAATCTCACTAATCCTGGGTTAGCTTAATCGGGATTTGAACAACCCGTCCCAGGATTGCAAGTTCAATTAGGTAGCTCAGCTAATTATATACATACCAGTTTAAAATCTGCTCTGATTTCAACAGGTTCTCTTGTATTACCATTAAACAGA